TTTTTTTTTTAATTCATGTAGTTACATAATAGTTGTTGAGATGATACAATGTTGCAAAGTCGGCTCTGATAGTGTTGTGCTTTCTATATGTGTGTGTGTGTGTGTGTGTGTGTGTGTGTGTTTTATTAATGGCAGTGTGGTATCAGTTGCTATCTTGAGGTGGGCCAATATCTCAGATGTCCACGGCCACGACCCTAACATGAAATATCGGGCCATTTGACCAGGAGCACCATAGAAAAAAGGCTATCTATGGTTATGAACCAACCACATGAAAACACAATAATAAACACAAAATAAATAAAATCTGTTCATCCAGTCAGATAATTCTTTTTGATAATAAACGTATGCAGCACAAGATCATGTTATGTTATATTGGAAAGTGACTAATAATTTTCTTTGGACAACAATATTTACTGTGGCTTTTGCGAAAAGCAATCCAAATTAATGCCTCCTCATAGCTAAGTGTGGCTAATCTGTCACCACACAAGCAATCCAAAATACGCAACGTCAATGAATTATGTCCACCAAGTAATTCATTGACGTTGCGTATTTCGCATGATTAATGAGATGATCAGATAGAGATGGATACATCAGTCAATGTGTTGACAAACCAAACTTTTTTGCCGAAATTGGTATATAATAGCAGCTTTCATGATCTCAAGTCAACATATCTATCATCATCATGATTGAAGAGAAAAATTTGTATCCCACAATACTATAGTGACTTATGCAAAAAATTGATTAATGTTGGTGGTTGCAATATGTGTCTTCTCCTTATTATTCTTGTATTTTTTTTCTTTCCTTTCTTTATGTATAATAAATTGATGATGAAATATACTATAAATGTATCACTTACATACATAACATGTTGTATTTGGACTTGGTGATCATCATCAACAAACTCTATTGCATTAGCGTTTTCATGCATACATTTAATTACTGTACTAATAAGAAGATCGGATTTCATCAAATGAGTAAATATGGATGTCGTCGTTTGAAAACTAATTTCAAAATAAAAACGGTATATATCATCTAACATCTGAACATTAATTGTGTTGGGATTTGAACTTGAAAAAGAAAATCGAAATCCATAAATTTCAGATCACTTAACGAATATATACTGGCCTCAATCTAAACATTAGGCTGAATGAACTATAAAACTTTTCCAAGGGAAAAGAAAATGAGATATTATACAGAAAACAAAGAAACAAAACAACAGGTGGACCTAAGCATCAAATTAGCTAGCACACGTCCCTAATTAATATGGCAAGAAGAATTTCGCTTTGGACATCATAATCAAAAGATACGAAACCAAAAGAATATATATAAAGTTGTGGTGGTACTTTACTAATAAAGAGAGCAAGTAATAATTTTCTTGGGATCTGCAAATTGCACAGTTTTTTTTTTTTTTTTTTG